CCCCCCCCCCCCCCCCCCCGAAACACGGCCCTTGCCGGTCCCCCCGAGCCCGAGCAATGGCCATCCCCCGGTGTCTTCCTCGCTTCGCCTGTCCCGTGCACCCCGCGCGCTCTGCCCGGGTGTTTCCCTCTCTTTCTCTTTCTCTCCCTCCCGCACGGGGGAAGGGCCCGCACCCGGATTGGCCCCTCCGGGCCGAGGGCCGACCGGCGGGCGCGGCCAATCGACGGGCCGTTTTTTTTAAATCTCCACCGCCGTCGCCCGGTGCGCCGGCACCCCCCCCCCCCCCCCCCCCCCCCGGCGCGGGGGCCCGCCCCGGGGGGGGGAACGAGGGGGACCCCCCAAGGCCCCGCCCCCCAAGGGGGCCCGGCACAACCCCGGGGGGTGTCCCCCCCCCCCCCCCCCCCCCCCCCCCCCCCCTGGGGGACGGGCAGGGAGGGCCGCGGAGCGGAACGAGAGAGGGGGCCGATCTGGCTTGTTCCCCGGCTGCAACCGGCGAGGGGGGGGGGGGGTTGTATCTTCTCCCGGCTGCGCGCCCGCCCGGACCAGCCCCTCCGGGCTTGGTGGTGCGCCGTTTTTTCTTCCCGCATTTCCTACACCGCCGACTGGTTACGGGGAAAATGGCCGGGGTGGGGGCGATCTGCCCGGCGCCGGCCGCCGCCCCAGGTGGCCCACCGGAGGGGGCAACGGCCTCCGCATGTATTGCCAGGGGGGGATGTTGTTGGGGCTGATCTGGCAAGAGGGGGGGGGGGGGTATTTCATTCGCCGCGCCGAGCCCGCTGGCCGCCGCGCCGATGTGGCAGCACTCCCCTCCCGCCGTGTCCCCCTCCTTCCTTCTCTGCCTCTGCCTTCCCAGACTCCCCCCTTCCCTGTGTCTCGCGCCGCGCCCCCTTCGCCTCCCTTCCTCTTCTTGCCCTCCCCCTCTCGCGCTCGCCCCTCCTCCCACGTGGATCCCCTGTGCCCGCCGGACTGGGCGCGCCCACCACCGGCAATCGGTGTAGCCCCGCCCCATGGTATGTCTTCTCCTCCCTCTCGCCCTCTCTCCCCCTCTCTCGCTCGGCCTGCACCCCCCCCCCCCCCCCCGCCCCAAATGCCCCGATGCTGACAGGAACTCGCCGGCCCTTGCGCGATAGTTCCGCATTCGTCCGATCAATGAGCCGCCGCCGGCCGGGGCGTCGGCCTCGGTCAGCCCGCTGCTGGCCTCGCTGCAGACAACCTCCACCGGCCGGCGCCGGCCTCGCCAGCGCATGGCCCACTTTAATGCCCTCGCTCAGGCGGCACATGCCGCCGTGGAGGAAATGCGCCAGGCCATGGAAACCCCGGAGCAGCGCATGCTCCGCCTGGAGAGCGCCTACGCCGGGGTCCTGCGCGCCAGCGCCCTCTGCCTGAATGTGTCACTGGCCCTGGGCGGCGGCGGCGGCGGCGGCGGCGGCGGCGGCGGCGGAGCCGGCGGCCCGGCCGCCAGCACGGCCCCCGGCCCGGCCTCCGCCGACACTGCCCCCCCGACCAGCGACGGTGCCCTTGGCCATGTGGCCCCCCTGATGCCGGCCCCCCAGACCTCGCTGGCGCCCGTGGCGCCGGCCGGGCCGCCGCCCGTTTCGCAAGTCGAGCACCTGGCTCAGCCCCTCGGCACCGGGGTCCCGGTGACTGAGGCGCTCCTTGGCCCGGCGGTGGCCGGCGTCCTCGCGCAGTATGACTCCCTGCTGGCGACCTTCCCTCCGCTGACCGCCGACGAGGCTACTCGCGCACTGGTCGAGCATGCGGAAGCCCGCGCCGACGAGGCCCGCCTGGCCACGCAATTGTCGTCCACCGTCGAGGGCGCGGCCGTCAGTGGCATTTGCGAATTGTCCCTGCTGGCCGATGACCGTCGGCCGCCGCTCTTCATCCCGCGCCGCCGGTGGGCCGCCAAGGCCCGGCAGTTGCGTGGCCTTGTTCGGGCCAATCGCGCGCGCTTCCTCGAATTGGTGCTCCTCCGTCGCCGGGCCTTCCTGGCCGCCGCCGCGGCCGATGCCACTTCCGAGCCGGATGCCGCGCTGGCCGCCGCGGCGCTGGCCGATCCCGACTGCACCGAATGGGCCACCCTCCCCGAGGCCGACTCCACCGAGCGCCACCTGTTGGAGGATGTCCTGGCTGCCTACCTGGAGGTGTGTTCCTCCACCCCTGTCCGCCTTCTCGCTTCCCTCGCCCCCCCCCCCAATCACAACCCGGCTGAGGTTCTTTCCCCTCTCTGCCTCTCTCTCTCACACACACATACATTCTCCCTCCCTGCCCCTCCCCCCCCTCTCTCTTTCTCTCTCTCTCGTCGAAAGGCCGCCACCGATAACCCCACTGCTCCGCGCATCTGGGCTCGCTCCGGAACGCTGGCCCTGCGCCTGGGCCGGCTGTCCCTGGCACGGGCCGCCTTCCAGCGGGGCCTGTATCCGGAGCTGGCCGGAAGCTTGACGACGTCCGTGCGCCGGCGCGCCGAGTACCAGACCGCCGCCGGGGGGAGCGGCTTTTCGCCGCTTGACGATCGTGACCCCAAGGACCCGAGCGACCCCCCGGCCGATGAGGAGGCCGCCTCCGATGCAACGGCCCCGAATGCGGCCAGCGGCAGCACCGCCGGCCCGGCGGAAGGGGGCGCCTCCGGGGCTCCGAGTGCCGCGGCGGCCGCGGCGGCCGCAGCAGCCGCCGCCTTCGCCGAGGCCGAGTCCCGCGACCTGGCTGCCGCCGCGGCTGACAGCGCTCCCCGTGTGGCGCCGCAGTTGCGCAGCCTCTTCACCAACAAGGCACGGCTGGCCGGGACGGCGGCGGCGGCGCGCGCGCGGCGCCCTGGCCGGCGCCCTGGCGTCCCGACGGCCGATTGTGGGATCTGCTCGCGCGGCCTGCTGGCCACCCTCTATGCCCTCGGGGACCATGATGCCCTGGCGGCCGAGGTGCACCGGCGCCTGCCGCAATTGGCCCCGGCCCTGTTGATGGACTTGCGCCGGCCCGATCGCCCGGCGGCCGGGTCCTTCCCCCCGTCGCGCATCCAGGCGAATGCCGCGCGGATGCTCTACTTCTGGCGGCGCTTGCGCGACCGGCATCTTTCCCACTCGGCCGCAGCGTCGGCCGGGGCCGAGTGGCCCGTGGCCCCGGCCGCCTCCTCCTCGACCGCTGCCGGCGCTCTCACCACCGCCGATCCGGACGGGTCCTCGGCCGGTGCCCTGCGACTGGATCTCTCTCAGGCGGCGCCGGTTTTGACCCCGCACTCGGCCGATGGCGAGGGCAGCTCAATGGCCTCCGCGGCGGCCTACTTCCCGGGGCTGCATGCCCTGGCTGATGTGATCCCCCCGCCGGGGGCCAGGGCCGGGGGGGCCCCGGCCGGGGCGGCGGCGGCGGCGGCCAGCGCGGCCGCCCCGGCTCCCGGCACCCAGGCCGGCTCCACCCGCTGGACCTGGTCCGCCCTGGCGGCACTGCTGGCAGCCTATGCCGCGGGGCAGACCTCCGGCACACTGGACCAGCCGCTGGTGCAGGTGTGCTTGCCAGCCTCGGCCGCCAGCGGGGCCGTGGCTGATCCCCCGGCGTCGACGGCCTCCACCGCCGGGGGCGGCCCTGGCACCGGGGCCGACGCGTCGTCGATCGACACCCAGGCAGCCGGCGACACGGACATGCCCCCTCGCGAGGAGTCAGCCGACGCCGGAGCCCCCTCGGACCCGGCAGCCATCCTGGCCGCCCTTGTGGCCGGTGAGGCCGACGGCGCCGGCACCGACTCCGACTCCAATGCCCAACGCCGGCGCAGTCGCCGAACCAAGACACGCTCCTCCACCCGAGGGTATGTCCTTGCCCCCTGCCCCTCCCTCCCTGCCTTTCTCTCTGCCTCGGCCGCGATGGGCCATGGGCCTCCGCCCCCCCCCCCCCCTTCCATCGACATGATCACCCACCTGTTCCCCTCGCCCGTGGTCACTGACTGATGCGCTGCCAACAGTGCCGCCGACCCGCCCTCTGTGGCGGTGCCCACCGACATCGACGATGCGGTGGTCATTTCCAAAATCCTCCTCCGCCTTCTGAGCCAGGTCCGTCCTTGAGCAGCGCCGACACCCCGCCTGGCGGCATTCGTGCTCACCGTTCCCCCCCCCCCTCCCCTCAGGTGGAGCCCTTCGTCCTGCCGCGTTTGAGCCACCACTTGCAATTGGCCGGGAGTCCCCCCCTCGCAGGCTCAGCCGACCGGGCCATGTCCGCCGATGATGCGGCCGCGACCGATGCCGACCGCGTCCTGGTGGCCGGCCTGTCGGGCTTCGACTTCAGCCAGCTGCGTGTGGCTGCCGATGTGCGGCCATCGACCGCCGGGTCGCAGCCCGGCTCGCCGTCCAGCGACTCGGACTCGGGCATGGTCGATGCCTCGGAGAGCGATTGCGCCCTGGCGGCGGCGGCAGCCGCGGCCGCCGCCTCGACCGCTTCGTCGATCACCGCGGAAATTGCCCTCCGTCAGCGTCTGCTCGATGTGTTTGGCAATTTCAAGGAGTGCTTCGCCATGGCGCGCGATGAGGCCGCCCGCCAGGAGGAGGCCGAGGAGGCGGGCCCTGGCGGGCAGCAGGCCGGCCATGTCGGCGGCTCCGGCGCCGATGCATCCGGCCCCGCCAATACGGCTCGGCAATCGACGCAGGATCTGCGCTTGACCCTGGAGCGTCGGCGGACCGCCGCCCGCAAGCGTCGTGCCCTGGCAGCCCTGGTGGAAATGGGTGTCATTGCCGGGCCCGGCCCCGGCGGCCCTGGCGCCGCCACCGGGGACACTGACGCGGCGGCCGGGCCCGGCACAGATGCCGCCCCCTCGCGACACCCATCGCTGGCCCTCTGGGCGCGACTGGGGTTTGTCATTCCCGACGCCGATCCCAGCCCGGCGGATGTTCTTTTGAGCTGGCGTTCACCGGCCGAAATGGTGCCTCCCCCCCCCCCCCCCCTCTCCGGTCGGGGAGCGTTCTCGCCTCTTTTCTCTCTCTCTCTCTCCCTCTCGCGCACACGCCTGGCTCACACCTGCCTTTGCTCGTTTCGATTCCCGGGCCGCCCCTTCACCCAGGTGGATTCGGTCCTACGCGAGGTGGCCGCCCCGGCCGGCTTGGTGTCGGCGCCTGCCTCGCTGGATGGTCTCGGCACTGGGGGCCGGTATCTTGGCTCGGCTCTGATGAACCTCTACCTGGCCTGGACCCTGGAGGTGACACCGGTGTTTGTGGACATCCCGGCCTTCGGGTTGGGGCCCGACACGTCGAGCCCCCTCTGCCTGCCGCTTCCTGGTGGCGCATGCCCAAGCGAGCTGCCCCGTCTCCCGACGGTGGATGTCCTTGAGCGCGCCGAGGTGCGCCACTTCCCGCCCCTCGCTCGGGGTCTTGCCTCCTGCCCTCCTGCCGCCTCCCTGTACTGATGTTTGCTCTTTGGCGCCCCCCCCCCCCCCCCCCCACAGGTCCACGCCCTGATGTATGAGCTGTGTCTCTTCTATGGGGATTACGACAACCCGGTGGCCTGCTCGCCGGCCGTGCTGCTGGTGCTGCTCGCGCGGCTGGACGCCCGGCTGTTGGCACTGCTGTCCCATGCGGAGACAGCGCTCCTCAGCATGCCGAGTGCCGATGCCGCGCGGGGCTCCCTGCGCCGGCGTCTGGCCCACCTGCAAGTCCGGTACCTGTGGTTTGCGGCGCATCGGCTCCATTGGACCGGGCGCCCGACCGCCGACACCGGAGCCACCTTGGACGTGGTCAATGGGATCCTGGCCTCCGGCGGGCCGGATGTCCAGCAGCGCCTGCGCCGGCTGGCGTCCGACCAGGCGGCCGGGCATTTGGAAGCCTGTGCCGAAGTGCTGGCCGAATTGGCCAGCGACGACTCGATGGCCGGGCCATCCGGCCGAGCGCTTTCCCCCCCGGCGCCGGTGTGCGTGCCGCTCATGCACCATCCCCGACTGGATGTCATCTCGCTGGAAACCTGTGCCGAGCTGCCGGCCGAGCCGTGCCCCCGATGGCTGGATGTCAGCCAGGATGCCGATTCGCGGGCCTGCGCCCTGGCCGACGCGCCCGTCGTCTGTGGCTCGCCGGAGGCCCAGCCCGGCGGCAAGATCGCCGGCGACCCGTCGGCCGATGTCCCGGGCCCCCTGTCGCCCGATCGACATGTCCTGTCCCTGAGCACGCACTATGACCCGGAGCGCGCTCCGGCCCGGAGCCTGGCCACGACGGACTTCGCCACCCGTGTGGCCGGGGCCATTCTGTCGGCTCTCGAGGCGGCCAATGCCCTCTCCGGCCCCGAGTCCTCGGGCGCTCGGTCTTACACCTCCCTGCGGCTGGTATGTGCCCGGCAGCCGCCTTTTCCTGACTCCCTCTCTGGCGATACTCACGCTCTTCCTTTGTCCCCCCCCCCCCCCCCCCTCCAGCTGGAGACCCGACTGGGCCATGTGTTGGATCGACTTCGCGAGTGCCCGGCCACCGGCGCTCTGGCCATGCCTCCGCCGGCCTCCTCGGTGCACATTGGCCTTGTCCCCTTCGAGGTGTATGGGCAGTTGGATTCCACCGCTCGGGCATCCTACCTGCAGCTGCTCCTGGCACTGGCTCGCATTGACACGTCAACGCGGCTGTTGGGGCCGTTCTCGGTGCGTTGCGCCCTTTCTCGCCGGCGCGCTTGGTCCGGGTCCCTGGGCCATTCGCCCGGCTGGCCTTCCCTTCGGCTTCCTTCCGATGACTGTGACCGGGGCAACTCACATGCACACCTCTCCCCCCGCCCCCCTCCCTCTTGGTCTGCCTCTCGAAATAGGGACTCGTTTGCGCCACCTGGGAGCTGCTGGAGCATCTGGTCTCCTGCACGGAGCCCCTGGCCCCGGCGCCGGACACCCTGGACTCGCAGGGGCTCATTTCCTTCTCCTCGGTCTCGGCATCGCAAACGGCCGCCGCCTTGTCTGCCTCCCTGAAGGGCAGCGCCGGGGCCGGGGGCATCGGGCCTGGCGGCGCGCGGCGTGTTGGTGGCCGGCTGTTGGCCGCGGCCGCGGCCGCCTCCTCCGCGGCCACCTCGCGCAGTCCCGAGCTGGACCCGGACGAGGTGGACCTCTCGCTGTCATCCTGGCGCCTGGCGGACTTGTGCCATGCGTTGCGGCACACGCGCGAGTGGTGCTCGCGCGATGTCGGTCGTCTGGCGCACCTGGCTGCTCGGTCGTTGGTGGCTTACTGCCTGGGGCAGCTGGTCCCCGGGCCCGACCGGCGGGGGTTCTCCTGTGCCACGGAGGCCGCTCGCATGGCGGCCACCGCCGTCGAGGAGTATCTCACGGCCGGTGGCTCGCGCCAGCCACTGTCCGACTCGGCGGTCAGCCGGTACCTCCTGTTCCAGGCGGTGGGCCCCCTGTCGCGCGACAGCTCGCCCAGCATTGCGGCCGATGACTTTGACCTGCTGATGAAGTGCCTCTCGCAGGCGGAGCAGGCCCATGACAATCTGACTTCGGTGTGGTCCTCGCCCGAGGCCGCCGCCAGCCAGGGCCTTCACCCCCTGGACTGGCCTGGCCGGTCGGTCCCCTGGTCCATCCCCCTGTCCTCCATCGAGCTTTTCCTCGGGTGCGTTGGGGACATGCTCTCCCGGCTCGTCGCTGCCACTTCGTTGCTGTTGCTGCTGCTGCTGCTGCTGCTGCTGCTGCTGCTGCTGACCGCCATCCTCCCTGCTCGTGACGCCCCCCCCCCCCTTGACAGTGCCATCGGCTCCAACATCAGCTGCTCCAAGTCGCGGCCCACTCGCCGGGACCTGCTTGGGCTGGTGCAATTCGATGTATCCCAGCATGCGCACCTGCTCCGGCCCGTGGCGCACTTCCTTCAAACCGATCCGCTCCCGGCGTTCCTCCAGCCACATGGCGGCACTGGGTCCCCCCCGGCCGGGGAGCCCTCCGCCTCGGGCCCCTGGCTCGGGCTCACGGGCGAGGGTGATCTCATTCCCCGCCACCCGGCGGCCTTCGACTGGGACGGCGAGTCGACCGATCCCCCGGCCGCCGGTCCCAGCCCGCATGATGAGGCCCTCGGCTCGTCCATGCACAACTCCCAGTCCAACATCGGGCTTGGGGTGGCTCGCCTGCCGCTGGTGGCCTTGCTTGGCGGCCCGGAGGCCGCGCGGCACATTCGCCGGGATCGGTCTCTCCTGCTGTCGTACCCTTGTGCGTGAGGCCTTTTTTTTCCTCCCCCCCCCCCCCCCGTCCCTTTGGCCTTCTTCTGCGAGTTTTGCCTTCGCTCGTCGCCTTTTCCCCGCGCTCCTCTCGCTTGTCCTTGCCCCCGGCGTCTCTTGCCTTTCTCCCGGCTGTGCCTCTGCACATGGAGGACCCCCCCTCCACTGGCTTTCCTCCCGACAATGCCACGAATGGCCCTGCTCTAACCCGGCCCCTCGCCTCGCCGGCTTCCTTGGCAGACCTTCTTCTACATTGGATTCACTGGAAGCTTTCCGTGCCTCAGACAAAGCTCCGCGTCAATCCGCCGATCTTTGCCTGCGATCCGGACCGGACGTCCGCTCGTTGGCGGCCATTGGCCATCCTCGGCCCGGGGGCCACGCGTTTGGCCGAAGCCGCGGGCATTCGCCTGGGCCTGGCGCCGGATGGCTACTCGGCCGCCGATGAGCTGGTGACTCTGCTTCACAGCCGCCAGGCGGCCGGGGCCCCGCCGGCGGACTATACCTCCGTCCAGGCGCTGGTTGCAAGCATGCTCGGCGTGCGACCGCGCGCGGTCCCCGCCACGGGCCCAGCCTCGACCGCCGGCTCGACGCCCCTGGATGCCGGGCTTTCGACGCCAGTCAAGGCCGGGCATTCGGGCCCCGGCCAGGGGGTCGCCTCGCCCGGGCGCGCCGTGCCCCGGGGTGGCCCCTCGCCATCTCCCTCGCGGCCGACGCGCATTCTGGCCCTCGGGTCGGCGGCTGTGGCCGGGGTGGCCCTTTCCCCGCGGAGCCGGACACTGGACCTCGTCCGAGATGCGGCCGGGGCCGCCCCCTCTGCCGGGGCCGATGACGAGGCCGACGAGGCCGAGGATAATGCCGACCCGGAGCACGATTCGTCCGACGAATCCGAGGAGTCCGACTCCGAAGAGGACGACCCCTCGATCGACTATTGGGTGCGTGGCCTGTGGTCCTGCCCGGCTGCATGCAGCCGGGCAGGGCAGGGCAGCGCCAGCCTGTGCAGTCTTTTTTTCGCCTGGGCCACCACTGTTCCGCTTCTCCCTTCTGTCGTCGGCTCCTCCTCACCCCCCTCTCTCTCCCCCC